GACAAAATTTGGAAGAAAAAAAAAATCTAATATCTGGCCTTTTCAGAGCTATGGTGACACGTGATTTTCTATCTGATACTTTGATGGCCTAGAATAGGTTACCTTTTACAATCTTCTATTTTTTACTTGTATGATGAAGCTGCAACTACCACTGTTTAAACCAATGTCTTATCCACCCACATATTTTTAATTTTTCCTTAAAAGTTGGCATTTTGGAAACGTTTTCTTTGTTTATTTTTTCTGTCACTCTATTCACTTAATTGTGTTCCATTAGTGTTGGAAGCGAAGGTTGTGTTTTTTAAATGGAAATTGGGAAAAAAAATGTCATTCTGAAATGAAACTTGAAGTTCCTAATCAAAAAAGGTTTAAAGGGAAAAGTCCAGTAAGCAAGGAATGATCAGTGGATCGTTATCTATACCTAATAACTAATACCTAACTAATAGGTTTGCAGTGATTTAATGAATTTTGCGTTAATCAATAAAAAAAAAAGTAATAATTATTTTCATGGCGATCACTGAGTCAGGGAGCGGCCATTTTTGCCCAAATATAGTAACCCCTCCCTCCTGCCATCTTCCAGCAGTGACGTCACGGTGCGGTAAGCCTAGCGCCATTCTCCCCGCTTTACAAGCAAAATCAATGGGAACTACTAGACACATCTGCAATCAACAACAATTATTGAAGATTTCCAGAGGACTTCACCATTGAAATTCACCAGAGCTATAGTGAAACTGACAATGCCCACGTGCATGGCAGCTGGATGCTGGAATACATTGGGTAAAAGTGAAATAAACATTTGGAAGAAGAATGTTTTCAACATGGTTGTGACAAACACCAGAAACAGCACTGGGACTTGATCAACAGCCGATACCGCACCGTGACGTCACAAACCAGTAGGTGGCAGTAGTGTTCTTTGACAAACATGGATGCCTCCACTAAAGCACATTCAAATGAAAATTACTCTGAATTAAAAACGTTTAATTTATTGAACAGTATGTAATAATTTCATATTTAAAGTACTTTCAGAAGTTTGAATTCTGAATATGACTTTTCCTTTAAGTTACTTGATCTGTTTCCTCAGATTTTGTTTTTCATATGTATTTTTTACAGATTTTATATTTTCAAATTCAGTTTCAGTTTTTATTTTCTTTTTTCAGTTTTACAGATTGAATTGTTTTGAAATTGCATTTTACACATCACATTATCTTTACAGCTGGGGCGGGCTTTCCCCTGGAGGGAGGAGCAAAAAACTTTTCTATTGATCTGCTGGACGTTACCAACAACATTTTTATGTTCAAGACCAAATGTTTGATTTGGCCTTAAAGTGAAGAGAATATGATCTGTAAAATGCAATTTGTAGAACTCAATATAAAAAACAGAAATTTGAAAATTACAATTTGAAAATATGAAATGTAAACAAAAATGTGTTTAGGGAAAAATGCTAAGTAACCCTTAAAACCTTTTTTGTATTAAGATGTTTTATAGCTGGATAGTTGTTTTTTTTTCCACTCACAAACACTTTTAGCAATAATGGAACAAAATTCACCCCATGCAAGTGATGCACATAACTGATACGTTGACGGATTGTCACTTCGGACCAGTGGATTTCTGACCTACTGGTTGCCTCTCTGACTAACACTCGTGTCAGACAGCCTTTCAGTGCAGGTGGATGGCCGGTGTCTTGGTATGTTTGCATTTGTGCCATACTCTAGGTTTTTGGACGAAACCTCATCTCTCCTACTTGCTGTGCTCATTTACTGTATTTCATTTAGGAGAATCACAATAAAGAGGTTCCTATTCTCATCAGATTTTTCCCATTTTTACTATATTTACAACAGTGGGTTAAGTCTGATTTATCCTGGTGTGATATGGTGAGGGTTCAAATGACAAATGTTACAAAGTACAAAGGGTATGAAGACTTTTTCAAGGCATTTTGACTATTTTCTAGTAGAAATAATGTTCAGTGGGGGCTCTGTGCCTATTAATGAACCCATAGAGGTTCAGTCTCTGCAGTAAGATAGCACAACTCTGCCTGCAGCCTCCTTACTCCCACAGAGTCATGTTTCATTCTGCTTCTTCTGTATAAATGAGATGCGACACAGAGATGATGCCGACTTATTTAATCTTAACAGACGTGGAAGCTGAGAGTGAAGAAGATGATGATGATGAAGATGATGATGGTAAAAAGGTCAGTAGGGACATTTTAAAAAGCTGACAGAGGGCCACCCTCTCTGCTGTCGCCCTTTGTTACTGTTCACACGCGACCTGTGCTTTTCACAGCTTTGTGGGTCTGTTCTACATGCTGGTGCCGCTGTTGATCTTGTCATGAATGCTTCTTTTCCTTGGCTGTTGTCCCTCCAGCTGCTCTTTATTTGTCATCAGTGCTGTTCCTGATGTCTCATTTCCTTTCGTTTTGGTTTTCGTGCTCAGTGTCTGGATGATACTTTTTACCGGTTCAGTTTTGAAATGAAAGACTTTGGCCGCTTTCATTTTGTGAAGTTTTTTTGTGCCACCCCCCCCCCTGCTGTGTTGGTGTCTAATCCACAAAACAGATACGTCTAATGATATTCACAGTGTTTGCAAAACCCAAAACAGCAATAAATGAAATGAAACATCTTCAATAACACACAATAAGCCATTTTCAATAACTAAAACGGTCCCTATATGGTCATGGACAAAGACCTCCAGTATGAACTCATCTTTTTTGAATAAGTCTCTAACACAGTTTATAAGAAATGTTATATGTATTCATCTAATTAATTAAAACAACTAACAAACATGAAACTGCAAAATAAAACTCAGAAAACCTTTTTTTTTCAAGCGTGAAAAAATATAACAAACAGCATCATCCTCAATCTTTCAATCATTTTTCCACCTGCTAGCAGTGGTGGGCTGTAAAGGCCTTCAAAGCCTTCTCCGCTGGCCTAAAATCAATCAGAAACACTAACATACATTCTCAACCTAAACTTTAATTTTCTTCTTTTCAGCTCTATTAATTTATCCGAAACAGTTAATTCTCTTAATTTTGTAACGTTTCTCTTGATTACTGAGCTGCTTCCATTACATTTATGTGGTCTCTGCCATCCACTCTCTGCCATCCACTCCACATCTCCCATACCTTTATGGCATTTTGGCCATTCTTTGCCTCCCATTCTACATTTAGAAATTCTAGGAACCACTGCAGATTGAGAGTGAAGTGAGTGTTTGGAACACCAGAAACAATCAGATCTCTAATATAAGATGGAGCTTGGTTGTTTAGGGCTTTATAGGTGAGAGGGAGGATTTTGAATTCTATTCTTGTCATGATTTCTGGCATGAGTGCTGGTTTGATCCAGGATTCAACACACCTGTCAACTCTGCCCTGTTTCTGGTCAGCCTCCATCAGATTTTCCCTCTTACCTAACTGTATAACCAGCTCTCAGACCAGTGACTAGTGTCAGATTATGACGAGTATTCCTGTAAACCTGCCTGACCCCTATCGGACCTGTCTGTGTCTTTTGGATCTCTGACCTGTATTCTGTGTTGCAGTTGCTGATTCTGGTGAATCTCTCCCAACCAGCGCCAGTTTCATTCCAATAAACTATTTAAACGTCTCTTGCTCCGGTTGAATCTGGGTCTTCCACCATCTGGTCATTATAATTCTGGATTTAACAGGAAGCCATTAAAAGGAAGCTAAAAATGGAGGAATATGTACTCATTTTAAAGTTTTTATCAGAACTATAGCTACAAAGGGAAGAAATATAAAAATCTTAGAATGCAAGTGAATTTTATTAAAGATGTTA